TCTTACGCATTCGTGTCTATGAATATCGCAATCGAAGATATACCATTCGAATAAAAATTGATCTCAAAACTTGGACCACAAACAGGGTATCCTTGTGAGGTTTGTAAGAGGTCACCACAGCTCGATTTGACACATTTCGGGATAGTAACTCACGTTAGTCTACCACTACGTCCGTTCACATTCTTTCCAATATATTGCGGCATGTAGACCCGTTGCTACGCAACGGCCGCGAAATAAACTATACAGCAGCCGTTGCTAAGTAATGGCTCTGCAAATAACAGCAGTTGGTGTCTCCTTTTTAACCTTACCATGATTTGATTTTTAATATTTGTTGTGATAGTGTAAGGGCAATGATTTTGTATTCATTATTTTATTAATGTTTGTTTCGTGAAAGTATAGAATGTAACGATTTTAAAAATTAAGTTTGGTGTAAGAAAATTAACTGAACTCGTCCCTCTGACTTGCAGAATGCAATTAGCCGTGGATATTTGCGCCTCTGGTGCCTGACACGGAAGCCGGCACATTGCTGTGTGTACACACAGAGGTGTTCTAACATATTCCTCGTGCTCTGAGCAAATACACGCGTCTGCTACTCGCCTGCACAGAAACACAGTTCCACTTTTCCTCTGCACCACGTCTTTGCAAATATTTGTACAGTTAACACAGATTTTTACAGCCTTGGATTCACTACGACCTAAACATTCAAGTTACCCCTTCAGTGATTTAATGTTCAAGGAACTTCAAAATAAAGGGGAAAGATTTTATGTTTGCCCTGTTACCTCCTTACCCAATCCTAGAGCCAGCGTTTCTTCATGTATATGAGGATAGAATGGGCAGAGGATTCCATAGCATTAAAAATCAGCACGCTTATGGAATATGCCGCCCTGTTGTCTGGTTCAAGTTCATTTCGGAGGAACATACTTCATGTTCGAAGTATAAGACTAGTCAAAGAAAGCAGTGACTTTACCCTTCGACCGTGAAGATAGAGGCAGTATGTTCCTCCGAAACGTCAGTAAACTACCAGACAGATGGGGCGTTTCATCCAGGAAAAGAATTCTTCATACTTACCTCAACGAAAACCTCATATCCAAGAGATTAATAGATTTTTGTCGGATAATATTGTTACATATTTGGGGTGTGCGTGACTTATAGACGGGTTTGAAATTGATTACCGGATTTATTGCATAGTTATTCAACACTACACTTGAAAAACCACTAATGACACACCATGTGTTCTCTATCATCTTCGACTGCAGTCTCCAGAGACTGGAAGTCAGTCACTTTACGACTGGCGGTTTACCACCAATCAGTTCTGCTCCCTTGACACCCACTACCAGACATTTTTTTCAACTGAACTCCTGCGGTAACATTCGTTATGTACCTCTCTGATGAGAAAATGGGGTGGTCTCTTATAAATATGCTTGGCCTTTCTTCAAGTGTTCATTTCGCACATATAACATGTTATCGAAAATTCATCCTTTTGTACTATATACAAGTCCTTTGTCAGTACAGGCTTTACAGAACAGATGATGCCTATATTACGTATCTTATGCTACAACGGCTGCTTAGTCACTGGGACGGTCGAGAATGGTGGAGCTATACCCTCATTCCCATATATGTCTTCATTGTATGATGCGTAATTAAGTAAAAGGACAGGTTTACTTGACGGATTTCTCATCCGCTGGATGAGGACAGTTGATTGGCTGTTTTCAACATGGTAGTGAATCCTTGTGTTCCATAAACGACAGGCGACGTTCTTGACCATGTGAGTGACCGTTATGTACTCCTGTGGGCGAGCAGACAGGAACTGATTTTCTGTCCTGTTTTCTGTATATGATCTGAGATTTCGGTAACCGGTTTCCCTACCTGCTACCTTGCATCACGCTACTTCCCTGCTTGGCTTTTCTTTTCGACCCTGAAGATCGAGACATGTTCCTCGGAAACATTGATTGAGTTTCAGCGGACTACATGACGTTATATCCCAGAAGTTAGAACTCTTGACTGAATGTCCAGTTTATGAAGTACCCTTCTTCATGAAGACACTTCATTACTTATAAAATAATATATAAACTAAGGTAGGTAACGCGTACGATTGATACAGGTTGTTAAAATGCCGGCAAACCTGTTGCACAACACCATTAACAACCAGCTGGTACTTTAATAGATAGCATCGCCTTTTGCCGAGTGTTCTTTATTAAGCTGCAGTTGCTAATTGGGGTGGCTAACCCGAGTGCCAACATTGCAGACGTCACCGGCCAGATTAGCAATTTAACTAGCTCAGGAGTTGTTCAGCGGAGAAGTGCGGGAAGCAGAAAGGAAATGGTTAAACTTCATAAATGTTGTAAGATTTGAGGCTTTCACGGCGGTGACTATGAAGAAAGCAGTCTTCTGGGATTTGGCACCGTGTATATGTGGTGTTAACCGACGTTTCGAAGGAACGTATCGCCTCCATCTTCAGGGTAGAAGGAAAAATATAAGAAATCCGCAAGCGAAGAGACAGTGAGAACCGGTAAAAGACCAGTTTCGAAGGAACGTATCGCCTCCATCTTCAGGGTAGAAGGAAAAATAAAAGAAATCCGCAAGCGAAGAGACCGTGAGAACCGGTAAAAGCAGACCTTCTACCCTGAAGATGGAGGCGATACGTTCCTCGGAAACGTCGGTTAACACCACATATACACGGTGCCAAATCCCAAAAGACTGCTTTCTTCATAAATGTTGCCCGTGTAGTTTATATTGGGTCCCCACATGGAAAATGTGCCGACTTGTTAAAATAGAGATCAGCTGAAGTTGGTGACGCTACACGTCATAATGGCCGATCACAGTGGTCGCGCGGTCTCAGGCATGAAATATCGAACTCTGGGATCGTGGGTTCGAATTCCACTCAAAGCGTGGTTGGCTGTGTTTATTCTGTTAGGTAGCGGCCTTGCGACGGGCTTATCCCCCATCCAAGGAGTCCTACCGACTGTGTATAGATTAAGAATCCGGTAGAAGTTCACTGACGTTTCGGAGTATTATAATACCTACGTCTTCAGGGTCTAAGATATGTTAAGCAAGCATAATATATTTTGTTTTCAGATGAAGGCAGTACGTCTTAAACGTCGATGGGCTTCTACCCTAATTCACAGGGTTACATACGAGGTGCTCATATCCACGTCTTCCTGAAAATTTCAGTGTTTAATATACATTACAGTGGGAGCCGGGATAGCGCAGTCGGTATAGCGACTGGCTACGGGCTGGACAACCGAGGGGTCGGAGTTAGAATCCCGGTAAGCGGCCTCCGTAGTCTAGAGGTAACGTTCCCACCTCATGACTCGTAGTACGCGGGTTCAAACACGGCGGAGGTCGTGGAATTTTTAAGGGCGGAAAAATTCAGGGAAGAAGTCCTACGGGAGGGACTTTAAGCCGTGGGTCCCGTGTCGTAGATTTACGCCACGTAAAAGATCCTCATATCTCCAAAGGAGGTCACTGAGCCAAATTACGGACGTTTCTCGCCCAACAGCAGTCACTAATACCTCCGGTAGATGGGGGAAGCATTATAGATACCTCTCAGCTAGTAGAGCCGGTCTCACTGGCTGGGTAGGACTGATGGTAAGCACCAGTACCGGTAGGATATAGAGACTGGTAGAAATCATAGAGGGAAGCACAATGGACCAATACAGGTCTAAGTGCATGGGGAAACCCACCCTCTCGAATAACTAACTAACTAACTAGAATCCCGGTAGAGTCAATTTTCTCTTCTCCACGTCGTGCAGACCGGCCCTGGGGCCCACCCAGCTTCCTATACAATGGGTGCGGGGGCTAAAGTGGCTGGGCGTGAAGCGTGAAGAAAATCCGGATCTATAGATCTACTTCCCTATACGTTTTCATGGTGTATTGCTATTTTAGTTAAGCTCATGGACAACTTTACCTTACAGTTCAGTAATTTCGATTCAGAGATGATTGTATAATAAACCTCCGCTTTTAATAGAATGTTGCATTCTCTTCTTATAGCGTGTGATTTTTTTTTTGTTCGAAGTCTGGACCCCAGTTTTGTATTCTGCGTGAACTTTTAACCTGTCATAATTGATGCACGGACATGTGTTATTCAAGTAGCGACACGCGATCCTAAGTTGGGGCAGAGAGTGGTAGCAGCTTAGATATATCTCAATTGAAACGTCACGTGACACCCTGACCAGCAGAGTCCATACAATGGGAATATTTCTGGAGATGATGGTCATCCTGTGTTATTCAATTTATGGTCATTTGTCTTTGTGATTACTGAAATACGTTTATGATGTCATTACAATTAAACTTAACCACGCCTGCTTTCATCCTTCTTCTTGAACTGGTTAATTAACTGATACATGTTTCCCAACGAAATTTTTAAGTAGTTTTTCTTAACTTTATATTATTGAGGCCCCATAACAAAGATTTCATTGTCTCCCCCCGCGCTTTAATTTTGTACATATGTAAAGAATGGATTCTTCACTTTTTCAGTTTTGAAATTACATTTAAGGCTACTGTCAATATTTGTCAAATTAAAAATGTTACGACATTAAGATAAATTCAGCCTTACCGTTTGACTCTCCCATACTATACAGTGCTTCCCTTAGCTGGTGGTTCCCACACTTCGGAAACCACTGCATTAGACAAAATTCAAAAGACATTGATACAAACCATGGACTGTTTCATTTCAAATATATACAAATATAAAGTATACCGCACCATGACGCTCACTAACTGAAACTGAGAACAAATGGCTACTGGAGCTGATAACTGCTGCCAAATCATAAATTCTTATGCATGATCCGCACTGCTCACCGTGAAGCATAATGCCGTCAAGCGCTCCACAAGTTAAGTACCCCCATCATTCCAAACGTTTTCTGCCATCAAGCCTGCAAATTCAGCTGCAAAATTCATATGGACCTCGTGGCTAGCAGCGCACCGGTCGCCGTGAAGCGCAGAGCGTTGAACCGGTCAACAAAATTGAAGTAAGAAACTATTTATTTGTATGTTCACAGTATGATGGTGCAGTGTCAGACTTTCCTGACCATTCCCTTGCTGGAAACCCTGGAAGCAGTGGAAGTGCTCACGATGGTGGAAGTGGCCCAAGATGGGGCGGCTTCTCCTCCTATAGCGAATGGAAGTGGCACGTGTTGAACAAACCCAACATGGACATGCTGCGCAATCATAAGGGAACGTACAAGACCTCGTCTTCGGGTAATTATTGACATTTTGCGTAATCAGTTTTTTTTTTTTGTGAATGGTGGTTGGCTGGCGAGCAGTGAACGAAGTGGAGGAAGGCTGACACGCAAGAAAACGGTCCGAGTTCATGTGTAAGGACATTGTACAGTCTGTTTTTAGATATCGCATCCGGGAATCGAACTAATGCATTATGAGTCGACCCGACTGGACAGAAGGAGCATCAGACCCTTACGCCGCGGAGTTATTTTCATGTATTTATTTATTGACATGCGGTATGACAGCCTCTGTGGTTTAGAGGTCAGAGGACCCGGATTCGATTCCCGGCGTCACCAGGTTTTCTAAGAAGTAGTGGGTCTGGAATGGGGCTCACACAGCATCGTAAGGATAATTGAGCTATTTCAAGAAATAGCGGCTCCTGTCTAGAAAACCGAGATTAACGGCCTTGGGAATCCGTTGCGCTTACCACGTGACACCCTCTATCCGCTAAAGTCGGCACCAACTTCGCCGGCAAGCGGCGGTCGCTCGGTCGGTATAGTTCGCTTGCGGACTACAGACCACGGAGTTTGTTTAGGGATAAGGCGGTAACGTGGTTGGTCGAGGCACTGTGCTACAAGCCGCAATGTTTCGGGTTCGGTTCCCGTTGGGGTCATTGGATTTTTCGGTTGACCCAATCCTTCCAGCCACACAATGGCCCCGGGGTCGACTCAACCTCTAAGAGAAATGAATAACCAGAAATCTTCCTGGAGGTAAAGGGCGGCCGGCGCGTAAGGCTGACAGCCTCACCGCCATCTGTGAGCCGATTGTCTAGAAAATGTGGGAACCTCAACATCTCACAGCTTTATAGGCATTCACGGACTGTTTCAGGGATAGCTTTACCTTATTTAATCGTATTGATTTAAGAAACCAAGCGTAGATGCTGTTAAACATCGATCATGACGTGTAACTCGATAAACTGTAGGACTATAAGGGAATACGGGAGAGATAAAAGGATGTTAGTATGGAAGCGTGTTTGATGACTGAAGAGACAGAAATTTTCTGCAAAAATATTTGTATTTCTCCAAGTACTGCAAGATAGGTAAGTAGTTCAGTAGACGTTTAAGTAGGCTGTTTTGCTTGACTCTGGTTGAAGGCATTGCATGAAGTTAAAAGTTGCGCGCATTATCAGTTTTGGCATTGGAAGTGACTGGTCATCTTATCGCTCCGTCCTCTTAACCCAGAGAGAATAGCTCGGAGCAGCAATTGGTGATTTATGGGCCACAAAGCCGGTTTTGGAAGTGAAAGAAATTATTTTCTCACCTTGCCACGAATGAAACTAGGTACATCTATCTTGCATCCAGTCGGTTTGCTGATTTAAATACCTTGGCTCACAGATATAGGTTATGTGTATAAAGAGTTTTTTTTTTAATTCAGAGGTGTCAGCATAAAAGCGTGGTCGTTTGAGGTTATGTTTTAAGTGAGCAACGGAACCGGGGCTTAGGGACATCTGCCCGCTGACAGTGTTCACTGTTGTAAAACAGGACTGAAATGCTGAAGTACAAGATAAGCATTGTGGAGCTTGTTTGCAAAAGAGTAAAGATGGAGAAACAAGTAAACGTGGGAGGCTTCTGTAGACCTACTCACATTATTCAGACGCTTGCAGTGTGGTTAGGCTAGCTATATGACCTTCAGCTCGCAATCAGACAAGAATCCTGCAAGGATTTTATGTTCTCTCATAGCAGCCGCCATCTTGAACCGTCTCGAAACAGTATTGGCCGAAAGTTGGCCACGTGCGTTGTCAGTTGTATGTTTCTATGCGAGTTCTGTTGCACTGAAATGTATCTTCTCGAATTGAAATACCGTATTTACGCATGTATAGGCCGCGTGCGTGTATAGGGCGCAGCACAATATTCAGACAAATTATAGAAAAAATAATTTTCTTGGAATATTATTTCAGAAGTATTACACCCTGTATTACTAATTATGAATATAATTTTTTTTTAAATGAAGTGTGATTTCGAATATTTCGAATATACGCCGGACCCCAGTTTTCCTCTTGAATTTTTGGCAAAAAATGTGCGGCCTATACATGCGTAAATACCGTATATTGACATCTGTTGTTCAAATGTGACAACAGCGCTTGCTGCTTCACATGGATGTTCAGATCCTGGTGACACTGTACAAAATAATGTTAACCGCTTAAGCATATTAAGCATAGTGGTTATTATGTGTGCCACCTGCTTTAATATTTAGATGCACTGCATTTATGTTCCTGTTTTATGGACTCTATGTACGTCGGTCACGGTAGCCGATCGGTCTAAGGCGTGCAACTATCTTCGCTTGCTCGGAAGCCGGGATCGTGGGTTCGAATCCCACTCGGCATGGATGTTTGTGTGCGTTTTTCTGTGTGTTGTCTACAGGTAGAGAGGCCTTGCGACGAGCTGATCACTCGCCCAAGGAGTCCTACCGTATGTGTAAGATCTAGTAAACTGAAGTGAAACGGAGAGTTACATGGAGGTAGGCCTAGGCCCAAATTGGGGCTGTAGCGCCACAGGGAAAAAAAATGTGGATCTCACAATAGGCATTTTCCTGGAGGGACTGAAGGTAAAAAGAAAAGGTAAAGTTATCCTTGTAACAGACCATGGACGCCCATAGAGTTGTGAGACGACGTGATGTCCTCATTTTCTAGACAATCGGCTCACAGATGGCGGTGAGATTGTCGGAATTAACGCGCCGACCGCCCTTTACCCCCCAGGAAGATTCCTGATACTCATTTCTATTAGAGACTGAGTCGATCCTAGGGTCATATTACGACTGGAAGGCTTAGGTCAATTGAAAAATTCAAATGACATCGGGACTCGAACCCGCGACCTTCCTGCATAGTGCCTCAACCAAGCTGCCGCGTTCCCCGGGACTGCAGATACCCACGAGAATCTGAGTCTGGATATGTAGTGTGCCGAGCAAGGTTCGAACCAATCACCCCCTGAATACAGTCAAGTGTAAATTTAATGGCGGAGTATTACCGCGTCATAGCTCAAGCGGTTAGTCGCTGGGTTCCCACCGCGGCGGCCCGGGTTCAATCTCGGGTCTGGTCAGGTGGGATTTGTGGTGGACGAAGTGGCGCTGGGGCAAGTTTTTGTCCGAGTACTTCGGTTTCCCCTGCCAATCACCCTCACCTATCATCTGGGGCTGGTACAATAGGTCAGAAGTGGCCGCAGTACAAGGGACTTAGTCCAACCCCACTAGCAATAAAAAAATAATGGAGTAATTAATTAAACATAGGGATGACTTTAGATTACCTTTTGCCTTTACTGATGCTGTGGGTGTGGTTCGAACCAGCCTACTCCTGCGGTTCTGTACGGAAACTGAATGTCTGCTTGCGTACCCGAGACAAGTGTCTTGGAATTTGTCGTGCCGTAGTGGTTGGGCGGACGACGTAACCCGCAGTCCTGTTTAACAGTTCTAATTGAAGGTGACAGATTTATGGTTTATCACCTTTAACACACTCTGTCATATATCTTAATCTCGGGCGACGCTTCGTGTCTAGACCAGGGGCGCCTGGACGTCCGCCCACCCGCAGTACTCTTGTCCTGTGAGGACAAACGACCATTTGCTGTTTCCCCCCCCCCTCCCCCTTTGAAACAGTCCCAGTAAGTTCCAATATTAGAACAGTTGTAAATTACCGTAATTTGTTTACGATGCCCTAATAATTTTCCTTTTCACGCTTAGATTCAAATTCCGCCTTAAATTTGCGAATGTTATTGCTGTAGTACCGAGATCGCCTCCATGGTCTAGTGGTCGAGTTCTTGCCTACAGATCCAGAGGTACGGGTTCGATTCCCGGCGTTGCTACTTCTGAGAAATAGTAGGCCTAGAACGGGGTCCACTCAGCCTCCTGAGGATAATTGAGGAGCTCTTTTAAGGAAATAGCGGCTCCGGTCTAGAAAGCCGAGATTAACAGTCGTGGGAATTCGTTGCGCTGACCACGCGACATCCTCTATCCGCTAAAGTTGGCATTAACTTCGTCAACAAGCGGCGGTCGCTCGGTCGGTATAGTTCGCTTGCGGACTCATACCACGGAGTACCTGAATAGACCTGGCATTATTGTGACTAGGCTACGGACTGGACGACCGGGGAATCGTGGTTCGATTCCTGGTACGGTATTCAGAACTCTCTGGCTCACCCAACATCCTAATCAGTAGGTAACAGGTACCCTGTCCCCTTGAGTAAAGCGACCGGGGCTTGAAGCTGACCGCCCCTTTCCATCTGCCACCTAATTTAATAGTACGAAGATTTATTTATTTTTGTATGCAGGAACTGGTTCTCACGTGTATGTGTGACATAACGCCTTGTCCAGTGAAATTCGGTTCTGAATAGGGGACATGTTCCTCCTAAACGTCGGTTGTTTTTCAAGGGACAGCACAGTGTTACATCCCAGAAGATAGAACTGTTCGTTGTGTTTGTAGCTTATGTAACGGCGCTGTCAGCCTAGCCGTGTCGGACGAGTCAGTGAGAGAGAGAGAGAGAGAGAGCAATCACCTGTAAAGGGTGGAAAAGGAAGCGGCCTTTTTCCCTAAGGAATACCAGGAGCCGCGTCAGAACAGCGAGCGTCCAGGCCACGCTTCGAATTTTTCCCGAAGGAATACCAGGAGCAGCGTCAGAACAGCGAGCGTCCAGGCCACGTTTTGAATTTATCCCGAAGGAATACCAGGAGCAGCGTCAGAACAGCGACCGTCCAGGCCACGCTTCGAATTTTTTCCGAAGGAATACCAGGAGCAGCGTCAGAACAGCGAGCTTCCAGGCCACACATCGAATTTTTCCCGAAGGAATACCAGGAGCAGCGTCAGAACAGCGAGCGTCCAGGACACGCTTCGAATCTGACGTTCCAAATGAAAGTCAGAAACGTTACCGCTTGAGCCAACTTCGTTCTTTGCTTCGTGTGGTTGGTTTGGTCTGGTTGGTTCGATGGTTGGGTTCGGTATGGTGCGGTTTCGTTTTATTCGTAGGGTGGTGTGAGACAGTGTCCACTTGGCACCCTCG